CTCACAGCAACCTTAAACTCCTGGGCTTAAGCAATTCTCTTGCCTCATCTTCCCAAGTAGTTTGGAATACAGGTGCCCGCCACAACGCCTGGCTATTTTTTTGTTGTAGTTGTCATTGTTGTTTAGCTGGCTCGGGCTGGGTTTGAACCTGCCAGCCTCAGTGTATGTGGCTGGCGCCATAACCACTGTGCTACAGGTGCCAAGCCAACTATAGTGTTTTGGTCAGATATCTCTCAGACTCCTTTTTGGTGATAGGAATAAGATTTATTCATCTGTGAGAGTTTCTGGGCTTCTTCAGTCTCCTTATCATCTGCTAGAGAGGATTTGTTTTGTTTTTTTTTTTTTTTGAGACAGAGCCTCAAGCTGTCCCCCTGGGTAGAGTGCTGTGGCATCACAGCTCACAGCAACCTCCAACTCCTGGGCTCAAGCGAGTCTTCTGCCTCCGCCTCCTAAGTAGCTGGGACCACAGGTGCCCGCCACAACACCTGGCTATTTTTTGGTTGCAGCCATCATTGTTGTTTGGCGGGCCCGGGCTGGATTCAAACCCACCACCTTAGGTGTATGTGGCTTGTGCCTTAGTCACTTAAGCTACAGGCGCCAAGCCGAGAGGATTTGGTTTTTGCCCTGTCTGATTCTTCCTTTTCTTATGTCTATATGCAAATTGGTTTCTTCCCCAGGCCAATTTTGGGGTTATATCAGGAGACAGAACATAACACAAATAAAATAAAAGAAGGAAAAGTGCAGAGAGGCCAGGAAGACCCAGATAGTCCAGAAGTAAGGGGGAGGCTGAGTGGACAGCGCAGATGCTGGCTGCTAGGGAAAGCTGGGGGTGGTACAGATTGGCCACAGGAGGAGCTAGAGGATGAGCAGGGAACCAAGGTTTGGGTTGGAGAAGGAACAGCAATTTTAATCAAAGTTTCTTCAATGTTATTGGAGAGATGGGACAAGTGGAGATGGCTTGTTACAGCTGGCCTGTGCCAAGCCTGCCTTGTGGGTTGGAGAGCAGAATGCTTTTATATTTTTATATTGTCTTTTTTCACATATTCATTTTATTTCAGATTACAAAATAATATACTAATTATAGAAATTTCTACTTTTTAGCTGACATATCACGTGAACATATATGAAAAATAGCTGTATATGCCAAAGTCTACTAATGTGGCCATATAGGTTGTTTCCAAAAGTTTGTAATCAGCAATAGCACTAATGGGAATACTTTTACCAGTCCGTCTTTGCATCTTCATTTCCTTAGACCAGTGTTTTTCAAGCTTTCTTATCTCATGGCACACTTGAACCTATAGTTAAACTTCCCAGAACACTTAAATTATGTTGGTCTGTAAAAAGAGTAAAAGAAATTATATATTTACTATGCTTTGAACTTCTTTCAAAAATAATTAATAATTAAAAATTCTCATGGCACAATGTTGAAAAATCACTGCCTTAGACCGTATTCTGAGGAGGGAATTTATTGGCTTGAAAGTATTTGCAAGGGTTTTGAATGAAATAATCAATGTATTACTACAGAGTTTTTTTGTTTTGGGGGGGTTTGAGACAGAGTTTTACTTTGTCGCCCTCAGTAGAGTGCTCTGGCATCACAGCTCACAGCAACCTCCAAGTCCTGGGCCTAGGTGATTCTCTTACCTCAGCCTCCCAAGTAGCTGGGATTACAGTAAGGTGACCAGACGTCCCGCAGTGTTTTTAAAAAGTCCTGATTTTTGGAAAGAATATAGGACAAGCTAGGGAATGGCAGGAGAACGGGAAGGGAATATACGGTTTTCGGCTGCCATGTGGCTATTTTGCCAGGATATGAGTTTTATATTATTTTCGTTAATTTTATAATGTTAAACTTTAATAATAACAAATAATTGTTGAGAACTGATTATCAAGAACTGCTTATCAAAGTTCCCATTGTTGATCAGTTGTTAGACTTCAACCACCATTGTTTGGACTTAATGAACCATGGCATTTTTGGCATTGGCAACCACAAAAACATTTTGTAACTGTCTCACAGATGACACACATCGTACTTTGTGCTAGTGCTAGTTAAACAAGTGGTGTCAACAAATCAGCTATTCAGATAATTTAGGTAATTCATTTATTTATTTATTTCATGAATTTAGCAGACAGTACTCGTATTATTTATATTTTATAGTGGCGGCAAAAAGTCTAGCGCTGGCCTTGAAAATGACACGACTTAGGAGGTATCATTATTAAAAATATATATTAATAAGGAAAAGATAAAAAGTCTTGGCTCGGTGCCTGTAGCTCAACTGGCTAAGGCGCCAGCCACGTATACCTAAGGTGGAGGGTTCGAATCCAACCTGGACCCGCCAAACAACAATGACGGCTGCAACCAAAAATAGCCGGGCGTTGTGGCGGGCGCCTGTGGTCCCAGCTACTTGGGAGGCGGAGGCAGGAGACTCGCTTGAGCCCAGGAGTTGGAGGTTGCTATGAGCTGTAATGCCATGGCACTCTACCCAGGGGGACAGCTTGAGGCTCTGTCTCAAAAAAAATAAAATAAAAAAAAAGGAAAAGATTAAATCTTGGGCATCAGCAAAAATCACAATAGAGACCAAATAGTTAGAAATATTTCATCATTTTGAAACAAACCATGTTCCATACAATAATGCACTAAAAATTGTGGGATACGCGCTGTCCTTACCAGGAACTAATGCTGCGACTGAACGCATTTTTTTCTATGGTAAATAAAGTGTGGACATCTGAAAAATCACAATTAAGTGTTGAGACTCTGAAAGCCATTTTATGTGTGAAATATAATTTAACAAATTCTTGTGAAAAATTTCATGACCTTTTAAACAATGACAGCAATCTACTAAAAAAAATTCACTCAAATGAGAAATATGCCAAATAATAAAATAATACTGTACATAGCTTTTTTGATGTATTATATTTGTAAATTGTACTTATGTTGAAATTTTAAAAAATATATTACAATACTATTTTTGTGTTCTATGAAAATTTTTGTTGCTCCATATAGACCAAATTTTTAAATAAGAACCCCCCCCATGGTGTCCCGCTTTACCAATGTTAAAATCTGGTCACCTTAGATTACGGGCACCCACCACAACACCTGGCTATTTCTTGTTGCACTTTGGCCCAGGCTGGGTTCGAACCCGCCACCCTGACCCACTGAGCCACAGGTGCCACCCTACTGTAGAGTTTAGTTTTACTTTTACCACTGTTTACTTTTATGCTTTTTAATAGAAATTTTTAACTTTTTCAAAGCAGTTTGATATCAGTTATATCCCTTGATTGCACATAGTAAAGTGTGAAAAACTTAAACTGTTCAAAATAGCTTTTGTGTTTTAGGAGGCAAAATTAGAGCTAGAATTTAAAGGTATTTTGAAAAGAATCATGGTTATTGTGAATATAAATTTAATTATGAGTACAAATCCTTCATCTGTTTATTCCATTTGAGAGAAAGCAAACTCCTGTTTTCCCCACCACTCATTTCAAGTCAGTTGTGGTAATATTCAGAGCATGATGGAGACACACTCTCTTTGTCCTTCCCAAGTATGATCCTCATTAGTCTCTAGAGTCAAAACTTAATAACTCATTGTACTCACCCCCCACAAATGACTTGTTAAGGGTTTTGTATTCACAGTGGGTTGGGGTAGGGGACTGCAATGGCCCAGTCATTCTCATTTATGAAATACTTGGCCTAAATTTCTCCTTCATGATATGTTTCCCCCATTAGCAATAGTCATGTAATTGTCATCACATAATAAAGACCTTTGGCTTATATAAGAATGAATCTGGAGCTATGTGCTTGGAAATCTCAGCTGATAACCCATCTCATAATCATACTTTGGGCCTTTTAAAAGATTTTTAATGGGCTCTCTATGCCAGAAGTGGTAAACTCAAATGCCTCCATGGTGGGTTATGTAGGGTGTAATTCAGGCCAGTTCTTAGAAAAGTAGTGATTTAAATAGCAGCTCACTTTGGCCCTCTGTGTGAGGCATGCAGTAGAGAGCAGTGGGGACTGAAGCTAAATGAGAAGCATTTGTTCTGTGTGAGAAAGAGGGCATTCTAGCATTTGTGGACAGATGAGGAAGTAGACCTAGCATTTTTAGATTTTCTTGTTCCAGGAGAAGTAAGAAATTCCAAGTTTATGGTTTTTTTTTTTTTTTCTTAAGCACATGAGTAAAAGTTTTTAAAGACACTGTTTTGGCCAAACCAAAAATATAACTGTAGACTGGATCTGGCGTATGGAGGCCATTGCCTGGCCTATACGCCTACTCATGGGGACTTCTATGAGGATTTAAGTAAGTCCTTGAGCGAAGAAGATACAGCCTACTGTGTATTAGAGGCCAGGATATAGAAGCAAAGCACAACCCCTCCAAAAGAAGTTTTAGTCTTCAAAATTGTGGGCTCCGAATGAGATGGACTGACTAATTTGGTGAGAGTGAGACTGCCTGAGTGTGATTAGTTTTGTTTTGTTCTGTTTTGAGACAGTATCTCACTCTGTTGCTCTGGGTAGAGTGCAGTAGCATCATAGCAGCTCACAGCAACCTTAAACTCTTGGGTTCAAGAAATCCTCTTGCCTTCGCGCCCTGAATAGCTGGGACTACAGGTACCCACTACAACATGCAACTGGTTTTTCTATTTTTAGTAGAGACAGGAGCCTTGCTCTTGCTCAGGCTGGTCTCGAACTCCTGAGCTCAAGAGATACTGCGGTCTTGACCTCCTAAAGTGCTTGGATTACAGGTGTGAGCCACCCCACTGGGCCCTCTGGGTGTAATTTCAGCTCCACCATTTTCTAACCTTTGTGCCTAAGTTTCTTCATTTGAGAAATGAATTAATAGTGTATACTTCCTAAGCTTGTGAGGATTAAATGAAGCAACTGAGGTGGGATGCTTGCTAAATTCTCATAGTTGTCAATAGTCGTTCTCACTCCTCTTTCCCTCTTCTTCCTCCTTTTGCTGTTCTTATTGCTCAGCTGGTCTCATCCTGTTGTTGTTGTTTTTTTTACGTTTTAGATTTCTGAGCCCCTTCAACATGATCCTTGGAGGAATTGTGGTCGTACTGGTGTTCACCGTGTTTGTGTGGGCAGCCCACAATAAAGATGCCCTCCGCCAGATGAAGAAGCGCTACCCCACGACCTTCGTCATGGCGGTCATGCTGGCTAGCTACTTCCTCATCTCCATGTTCGGGGGAGTCATGGTCTTTATGTTTGGGATCACTTTTCCTTTGCTGTGTAAGTGAACCTTAGTTTTCTTTCTCTTACATCATAAAAAGCATGTAGGAAAAAAAAAAGCATGTAGGAGCAGTTATCTAATGGGATTAGTCTTCACAATCTGAATTTGTGGTAGTGGAGATTAGGAATTTGGGCATTTGATAGGTTTCTATCTAATTTGCATGAAAGTTAGAAAATCACTGGTGTAGAGCACATGGTGTTGCTGTAATACAGATTCCTGGGCCCGTCCCTTTCAGGCTATGGTTCAGGAGGTCCAGGAGAAAGGATAGGGAATCTCTTTCTTAATAAACAAACTCTAGTAATTCCTAATGGTCAGGCAAATTTGGGGAACAGTGGGCCATGTAAATTCTATAAAAATCCTTATTTTTTTTTAATCTAGAAATCTATATGCAACATTTTGGAAAACTGCCTCTCGGAGGCACTTTAAAGGTGGATTCCACCCACATGCCTCCTGCATATGTCTTTGTTCCCTGCAGGGAACAAATTATAGATAATCTCTGAATTGAGCAAGAGTTCTTTCTGGAAAACCTTAGGTGATTTCTAGGTAGGTTAGAATCACATTGATTCACCCTTGGCATTTAAGTGAAGGAAGCAGTGTGGCTGCCAGATTATGGTCCTTCCTGCTGAATACATTGTTTTGCTTCACACATGAAAAAAAACTATGTATGACCTGACAAAGACATTTGTATAAAAGTCCAAGGATCCATTTGAAGATGTGGCTCAATCAGAGAAGCAGATTGGACTGTAGATAACTGAGACCATTTACTGAGAGAAAGGAGTATCATATTAAGGTGGGAAAAGGAAATTGTTGCTTTGGTGGTGACCATGTGTTTCTTCTCTGCAGTGATGTTTATCCACGCATCACTGAGACTCCGGAACCTCAAGAACAAGCTGGAGAATAAAATGGAAGGAATAGGATTGAAGAAGACACCAATGGGCATTGTCCTGGATGCCCTAGAACAGCAGGAAGAAAGCATCACCAAATTCACTGACTATATCAGCAAAGTGAAGGAATAAACCTAGCTTTCCTGGTGGTAGGGTTGCAGCAGAAATTCAGTTGCAGTTTGCCCCTCTCCAGACCTACTTTCTGCTTGTATTTTTGAAATAGGAGGTGCACATACCACCCAACTCTCTATGGCAGCATGTATGTGTAGGCCTTACTGTTAACATCTCTGATGTTACAGAGAGAAGGCCTCAGAAAACCAAAAGGAAACCACTCTCCTATTGTGTCTGAAGTTTCAAGTGTGTTAATGAAATCTAATGGGAAATGGATCACACGTATTTCTTTAGGGGAATAAAAGAATTATGGGTTCTACAGCAACATTAGTGTTATCCTATAGGAAAAAAAATTTTTGTAAAGTATCAAGGGAATATGAGTAAATGAACAGATTATTAAAGTAGATGATGTCAAGTGTTAGCCTGTTTCTAATTCCCTCAAGCATCCTCCTCCCAAAATATCCCTTAGGATCATAATATGTGGGTATAAATTAGTTCAGTTTTTATTATTACTCTTTTAAAATCAAAGACAATTTCTCTCACTTTGCGGCCTGTTTGATGTGCAGTGGAAACTGGACAAACCAGTTATTGATACTTTGTTTACACATATGAAGATTGCTGTTTAGAATATTTTGTTAAATTTTTGTAAATTTTTGAAATGCTAGTAGTGTGTTTTCACCAGCAAGTATTTGTTGCTAACTTAATGGTCCTTTTCCTTAAGAAGGTTACAGCTGTGTAACCCGTATTATCCTTGACAGACTTGTTAAAAAAAAAAAAAACAGACAAAAAATAAATCAAAACTTGAGTTCTGTGTATATTGCATTTTTTGTTGTTATAATGAAAAAACCTGTTCACGATAATGTATCCCACTTTTTATTGTTTAATTTTTAACTGGAACATTTAGAAATAATGAATGTGCATTTTATTAATTCCTTAGAGGCACAAAGAGGATGATAATAGCTGATCTTTTGAAAACTGAAAAGCATCTTTAGATGAGCAAGCAAAAAGACTTGAAAAATGGCAGTGAACATGGGAGTGATTACTGGCTTTTGTAGTTGATAAAAATTTTAGATAGCGGTTGTTCCAACCCCATGCATTTATAGGCAGACGTTAGGATTAAGAGTACGAGTTTATGTATTGTTACTTTTGTCTCTTTATTTCTCTTGTTTTTAGCACTAGGTTATAAAAAAATGTTTTGCCAGCCAATTGAGTGATTTCATAGATGAAGTAGAAAACATTGAGGTTTCCCCAACATTGAACTGTGAAGACGATTGGAATGATGCTCGCTGAGGGAACTCTGTATGTCCTGGGATCAGAAGCAATAGCATTCGCTCTTTCTGGTTTTTCTTGCTTAATTTCTTTGCCAGAACACAGTTGTCATCTTTAGCACAGTGATATCACCATGACTTCACAGACATGGTCTCGAATCTGTACCCTTACCCAAGTATGAAGAATAAAATTTATCAAAGTTT